CATAGATGTTTCTTTCTCTCTCTCTCTCTCTCTCTCTCTCTCTCTCCCTCCCTCCCTCCCTCCCTCCCCCCCCTCTGTCTCTAAAATCAATAAACAAAAAATATTTTTTAAAAAAGAACTAATAGGAAAATAACTTTTATGGTTATATTCCATTTTTCAAAGCAGGCAGTTTCAAAAATAGTACAAAGGAAAAAAATAGTTAATTGAGTCTCATGTACTCTTTACTCAGTTTCCCATAGTATGTTAATATTAACCAAACTACAGTTTTCACCATTTAAAAATCTGCATGTGTGTGTTTGTGTAGTTTTTTGCGATTTTATCTCATGTATAGATTTGTGTAATTGACCACAATCAAGAACTGTCATTATCACAAACGAATTCATTCATGCTGTTTATTTGTAGTCATGCCTCTCCTTCCCTGTCCATGTCCTCTAGTGATCACTGGTATCTTCTTCATTTTTATAGTTTTTGTTATTTTGAGAATGTTATGTAAATAGATTCATGTAGTATAAAACTGTTAGAGCAAAAACTTTTCCTACTACCTTCTTAAGTTCAGTAGCTGGGAGCCTATGAATGAAACTATTGACAGATTTACAAAACAAAAAGCATATAATTTTTATGAACATTTTATGTGCCTGAGTATTCACAGAAAAGCATACTTGGGGGCTTATATTCTTTTTACAAAGGAAAGGTGATTTGGGTTTCAGGGGATGATTAAAAATGGGAAGATGACTAGACAATATATGGGGAAGCTAATGGAGGTTATTTTAATAAGGTTTGTTTATTCAAATTTATCTCAGTGTCTACTCGGTGTCTCTGATGAGAAGAGTTACTCTCTTTTTCCTTGTAAGGGAAAAAGGACAACTTCACAAAGGGAAATTTATGCCCTGCTTTTGAGGGAGGCAGAGAACTAACTCCCCGTTATGTATTGATTCTCAGTTCCCTTCAACTCAAAATAATCCTTATGCCAAAGTAGCATATTTGGAGGATATATATTCTAACCCCCTTAATAACTTTCTGAGATAAACTTTTTTCTCTAAACACAGTGCTTAGCCTGTTAGGTTGTTACATATATCAATAGTTCATTCCTTTTAATTTCTGAGTAATTTTTCTATTTTCCAATAAGGTTGTCTTAGTATTTCCGAGTGGTGTATTTATATATTCTAGATACAGTTCCCTTATTGGATACATGATTTGAAAGTTTTTCTCTCAGTCTGGGAGTTAGTTGTCCTTCCACTTTTTTATGGTGGTGTTCTGCAAAATTTAGTTTTTGCTCTTAAATTTAGACATATGATCCATTTTCAGTTTATTTTTGTATGTGTTGTGCGATAAAATTCCAACTTCATTCTTTTGCATGTGAAGATCCAGTTATCCTAGCACCACTTGTTGAAAATATTGTTCTTTCCCCATTGAATTGTTGACACCTTTTCAAAACTCACTTGACCATAACTGTTAGTGTTTATTTCTGGATTCTCTAGTCTGTTCCAATGATCTGTATATCTTTCCTTATGCCAGTACCATGTTGTCTTGATTACTATAGCTTTGTAATGCGTTTACATATCAGGAACTCTAATTCTTCCAGCTTTGGGTTTTTTTCAACATCGTTTTGGCTATTCTGGATTCTTTTCATTTCCGTAAGCATTTTAGGATCAGCTTGTCAATTTCTTCAAAAAAGGCAACTGGGGTTTTGATAAGAATTATATTGAATCTGTTGATCAATTTGGACAGTATTATCAGCAAGGCTGAGATAGAGAAAGCAGGGCAAGAGTAATAAAAGATCAAATTGGAGAGGAGGAGGCCACATTACATATACCTTCTAAGTAATGTAAGAATTTTTATATATTAAAATAAATGATCTGACTTTTTTTTAAGTCTTTGATGCTTTTTTTTACTCTCTTTATTGATTTTAGAGAGAGAGGAAGGAAAGGGAAAGAGATAGAAACATCGATGATAGAGGACATTGATTGGCCACCTCCTGTATGCCCCCCACGGGGGATTAGACCCACAATCTGGGCATGTGCCCTGGCTGGGAATCAAACAGGTGACCTCTTGGTGTATGAGCCACACCGGCTGGGCCTGACTTTTTAATATATCTCAGACTCATTAACAACATCTCTGTCCCTGGTACTTTGAGTTTTTTCTTCTCTCTGCATGGAATACTCTTCTTCCAGATAAATGCTTGATTTTTTTTTTTGGTTTCAATCTCCTTGACATGTCTGCTTAAATGGAATCTTATTGATGCTGACTACCCTATTAAAAAGACAAACACTCTGACATTTTTTTTAATCTTTGTTTCCTGTTTAAAATTTCTCCTTAGGCTCGGCCAGTGGGGCTCAGTGGTTGAGCATTGACCCATGCACCAAGAGGTCACCGGTTCAATTCCTGGTCAGGGCAAGGCACATGCCCAGATTGTGGGCCCAATCCTGAGTGGGGGGCATGCAGGAGGCGGCCAAGATGTTCTCTCTCATCATGTTTCTAGCTCTCTCTCTCTCCCTCTCTCTCTAAAATCAATAAAGAAAAAAAATTTTAAATTAATAAAATAAAATTTCTCCTTAGTGCCTGTTATGCGGCATATAATATTATTTGTCTCTTTCCACCTCAATTTAAGCCTTTTCAGGGTAGAACTTTTAGATTGTTAATTGGTATAGTCCCATTGCTAAGGAAAGTAATTGGCACTAATTGGTGCTCAATAAGTATTTTTGAATGAGTGAATGAGTACATTCTATTGCATTTTCATTAGTGTCACATTTTTAATTTTGGGGAGTTTTTTGTTACTAATTTTATCTTCTCATTGCTTACTTTTTATACCATCTTGTTCTTATACATGGAATATTTTTTTCTCTTCACTCTAAAGATATTAATTATAGCTTTTAAAAAATTTTATTTTCTCTATGTAGTCTTTTTTTCCTTCATGTTGGTTATGTCATGATTGTTTTGGTCCCTGTGTTTTATGCTAGGGACTTCCTTCAGATGTCTAGTGAACCTTGGTCAAGTGTTCATATTTAGGATTGAGACACTGAAAAGCTAATTGGAATCTCTGATTAATTGGGTGTGTTGTCAGTCTCTGAACCCTACCAGTATCTTTGGGTCTTTCCTCCTGGCCTGGTCAGATTTCATACAAAAGTTTAGTCTAATGTTCTCCCTGAAGAATATAGTTGACCTTTGAACAACACAGGTGTGAGGGGCTCCTATCCCCCTGTGCAAAGTTTTACATGTAACTTTTGACTTTCTAAAAACTTGACTGTTAACTAGAAAGCCTTACTACTAACATAAACAGTTTATTAACACAGACTTTATATGTTACATGTTTTATGACTGTATTCTTGTAATAGAATAAGCTAGAGAAAAGCAAATGTTATTAAGAAAATCATAAGGAAGAAAAATACATTTAGAGTATTTATTGAAAAATATGTATATATAAGTGGACCTCTGCAGTTCAAATCTATGTTGTTGAAGGGTCAGCTGAGACCTCTATTTTTAATATATCCTTTGATGTCTATATAGTATACCCACCCTCAATTGTACATGATGCTGCCCAGTCCATGGATTCTCTCTTTCATCCTCTTGCTTATGTAAAGGAGGGATGGTCATCAGGCTGCATGTAGTTTTAAGTGCTTCTGAAACCAACTTCAACTTGTGCTTCTTTATTTTTTTTTAATATGATTTTTTTTTTTTTTTAGAGAGAGAAGGGAGAAAGAGATAGAAACTTTGATGCGAGAGAGAAACGTCAATTGGCTGCCTCCTGCACAGCCCCTACTGGGGATAGAGCCCACAACCTGGGCATGTGCCCCAACCGGGAATTGAACCGTGACCTCTTAGTCCGTAGGATGATGCTCAATTCACTGAGCCACACCAGCTGGGCAGTACTCCTATTTTTAACCTACGTTTTCCACCAGTTCCAGAGACTTGGTGCCTCTAGTTCTGGAGCCTTCGGGGAGTCCTGCAGAGTAAATATGGATGCTGCCCTGGCTGGTTTGTCTCAGTGGTTAGAGCGTTGGCCTATGGACCAAAGGATCATAGGTTTGATTCCTGGTCAAGGGTATGTACCTCGGTTGCAGGTTCCATTCCTGGCCCTGGTCAGCATCATGTAGGCAGCAACCAATCAGTGTGTCTCTCTCACATCGATATTTCTCTCTCTATCTCCGCCCCCTCTCTCTCTCTTCCCACTCCTCCCCTCCTTTTCACTCTTATCAGCAATCAGTGAAAAATATGCTCAGGTGAGGTTTAATAAAAAAATAAATATGGATGTTCCTTAACTTTCCCACAGCCAGTGTAAAGTTTACTACTGATAAAGCAATTTATGCTCTATTATCTGCTTCTCATATTTAAAAATGTATTATTGTTGTGTATTGGTATATTCTCTTAAATGTTTATTCCTTTAAAAGATAATAATGTTTTTATGGGTTTCGGAAGGAATTCAAATATGAGTGACATTTGCTATCTTCACCTGGAAAGCCCCCTACTAACTCTTTATTGCAATCACTGATAATTTTATCTGTTTTGTTCATTCCTATATCTTCAGTGCCTAGAATGGTGATCAGCCCTAGTGGACATGTGTGTAATGGTGAGATCTCCCAGGAGGAAATTAAATATTCCACAGAATGGGATGATTGTCTGTTGGATCTGGAAATTCCTTCAGTAGCATTTAGAAGTTAAAGACAAAAGTCCTTTACATTATATTATAATACATTGTATGATTTACTGATTGTTAAGTGGTTAACAATATATTTAAAGACATTAGCTGTAAGATGTGCTCATCTACATGCACACTTGTATGTAAATGTGCCAGAATCCATATAAATTTTTTTTGTTTTGATTGAGTAAAAGATTAGTTTAAATTGACTGATAATCTTTCTGGTAAGAAACCATTTGGTGCTGGTTTAGCATTTTTTCTTAATCTTAACTTTAGTGTTTAAAGTTTTATTTTACTTTTTAAAGTTAAGAGTGTTAGAAATGTCTCAATTAACTAAAGCAAATTGTACTATATTTAATTTTTACAGTGATACATTTGATATTGCCTGGAATGGCAGAACTGGGATTCGCCAGAGCAGACTATCAAGTAGCACCTCCTTGCTTGACAAAGATGGGATATTCGCTAATTCAGCTAGCAGCAAGCTCTTGGAAAGAGCCCATGGAATTCTCACGTTAGTATTAATTAGTAATATGGGTTGCTTTATATGACAGGTTTAAAATCCTGGGTGAAAAAAGAGGAGGTGATGGAGATACTATTTCATGAGTAGAAATTTGAGTGAAACAAGGTTAAAAAAATACTCAGCATTTAGACCTCTGAATCTTATGCATTATTTAGCTGGTAGATTTTGATATGTTTGTTTTCATTTCACCAGGAGAATCATGATTGAATATACCCATTATAGAGATGATTCTTTATTGCTCTTTGGTGGACCTCACATTTAGAGAGAGAAAACACTGTTAGCTCTTTTGAGGATTCTTGGTCTTTAATAGCAATTCTAGCAGTTCCTAACAAATTGGACAGGAATATTCCCTATGAAATGGTACATATGTGAATGGTGTATCACATATAGTGATACATGACACTTATCCAAGCCTGCCATTCCTCATTACCTGGTTCTAGAATAGGTTTGAGGACATAGATATAACCATGCATGGGGGACCAGTAAAAAGTTTGTAGCTACCTATGTCAACACATTCCAGACATTTCCAAGGCATATTTTTAGACCACTAGCTAGAGGTGTGATTGAATTGTATTCCTTAATCCCTAAATTATTGCTTAACAGTGTCATAGGCTCAATTTATGTAAGTCTTGCTATAATCCAGAATTATGCATTAACTCATTTAATTCTCACAACACCTCTAAGAGGTTCGTGGTATTATCATCCTCATTTTACATTATCATGTAATGAAACCAAGGTTTACAGAGGTTCAGATCATATGTTAATAGGTAAGAGAGCTTAGTTTCACGCCCAGGTCTTTCTGATTCTGTAACCCATGTTCATAAGTATTAGCTTTTATTCCCTTTCTGTAGTCATAATAAAAAAAGGTCTTGATAAAAAAGTATGATTTTGTTATGAATAAGAAAAATAAAAGAAATTTTAATTTCCAAAAGTAGAAAATTATATTTTAATGAAAAGTACATTTTAAAAATTCATTAAAATATAAGCATCTATATGAAGTGACAGAAACAAAACTTCTGTAGTTATAAGAAATTAGAGCCCTATTAACAGCCAAAAAAAAAAAAGAAAGAAAGAAAACTAGCTTTGAATGTACAACATTAGGTTATTGACCATCAGACATAAACCTGTTTATACCTATATTACAGAGCAGGCATCTCTTTTCTTGTTCTCTTTTCCTTGCTTATCCTTCCTTCCTAAAGGTGTCTGCTTAGTTGAAGCATACAGCATTTTCATATAGATGATATGTATTTTGGGAATAAGTATATAATCTGTTGTTTCAATAGAGACCTTGAAATCATTCATCTCTACAATAGTTTTTTCTATGTATGATTTGTCTCTTTAGGAGAAACAGAAACTTCAAATTCAAACCTGGCCTTCCAAAGGTGGGTATTATAAAAATATATTTTCCATTGGTGTCCTGTTTCATAATTATGTTTTTATTGCTCATGCAAACAATCTTTAGAAATCAAAGACAAGCAGTACCTTATTTATACCCAAAATAGGGACTGTGTGTATTCAGTTAAATCCATTTTAGAAGTAAGATTGGATGTTATAAAATGGCCAAGCTTAATGATCAGGTAGATATTTATTGGTGATATGTTCTATTTTCTAGTATTTGAAAAGCTGTTGAAGAAAATGTAAATTTTTGTTGAGTAATTGACTCATTATGTGAGATCTTTTTATTTCTCCTTGAGCCAGGTTAAGATTAAATTCTGAATTTCACTTGATTTTTAAATAATTTCTAATTAGTCTTTACCTAATTCTTATCATCATTGGCACTAGTTAAGTTTTTTTGTAAAGGTCCATATAGGCTTACAGGCCTATGATCTCTGTTGTAAATACTTAGCTCTGCCATTGTAGCACACATGCAGCTATAGACAATATATAATTGAATAAAGTGTGACTGTATTCCAATAAGTTTTTATTTATGGATACTGAAGTTTGAATTTCAAATAATTTTCACATGCCATTAAATATCTTTTTAATTTTTGTCAACCATATAAACCATATAAAAAATAGTGGACAGGATTTGACCCCTGGACTATAGTTTGCCTACTCTGATCTACATTGTTAAAGGCAGAAATGGCATTCCAAAAATATTTATTGAATTTACTAAAGAAAGTCTTACTGTTTCATTCTCTTGTACCCACCCAAAGAAGGAATCCTGCCCCTTATATTGTAACCTTGTTAATGAACATAATTTCAAAATTTTTATAGAATTGGAAAAGAGCTATTCTTATGATTCTCTAGTTTAAGGAAAAAGAAAATGAATTTGTTTTTATTATTCCTTCTACCTAAATTATCTTAGGTTTCCAAAGAAAATTAAATGCACTGCTGATATGGTTTCTGCTAGTGGTAAATATTGTTTTAAACTACAAACAAAGAAAATTTATGTAACTGGTTTGTAATGATCTTCTTATCATGAAAATATTTTATGTAGAGAAAAAGAGAAGAAGAGACCATATTTGTTATGAAACATCTTTGTCTGTTAATTTATCTTTCTCTGTCCTTCATTCGCTTTAGTCTTTTAGTATTTTGAATGCCACCTCTGGGCCTACCTATTTGCACTGTTCTTTTCATTCTCCTCAAATGGATAACTTCTCCTTAAACTTCATATAATAGCCAATATGAATATGTTGGATACATCTGAAGTAAATAAGACCATTCAGTCATCAGTTATAGGCACCCCATCTGTTTTTCTCTCTCTAAATTAAGTGTAGCTAATGTTTTGTTTATTGTAATGTTTTATTGATTCAAATCCTCATCTGAGGATATTTTTTCCATTTATCTTCAGATAGAGTGGAAAGGAAGGAGAGAGAGAGACATTGATGCAAGAGAGACACATCGATTGGTTGCCTCCCACACAACCCCGACAAGGGTCAGGGTCAAACCACATCCAAGGTATATGCCCTTGAACGGAATCAAACTTGAGACTCGTTGGTCCATGGGCTGACTCTCTAACCACTGTGTCAAACCAGCCAGGGCTCAAATGCATATATTTAATGTGAGAGAGGCACCATAGCCTATGAGAGTATAGACTTTTAAGTCAAACTGACCTTAAGCCAGGTTAAGATCAAGTTCAGGTTACATTCAGATTTTGGATCTGTTTCTTGATCTGGTTTTTGGAGTTCTCTAATTTGTTTTAATCTTTATCTCCTCATCTGAAATGCAGGGGATAATATATTTTAGAGTTAGAGATATGTATTTGGTACATGCATGGTTAGCAGTTAATAAATAATAGATATTTTTCTTCATATTTTCCATCAGAACATTTAGAACTGAATTTGTGGCTCATCTGTATACATACATATATGCATGATAGGTGGTTTGTTTAGGAACCTTATTCATTGTTTGTTTTTTGAATATTTTTTCTTTATTGATTTTAGAGACAGAGGAAGGGAGAGGGAGAGAGATCTAGAAACATCAATGAGAGAACATCAGTTGGCCGCCTCCTGCATGCCTCCCATTGGGGACTGGTCCCACAATCGGGGCATGTGCCCTGACCAGGAACTGAACCAGTGACCTCTTGGTGCATGGGTCGATGCTCAACCAGTGAGCCACTCCAACCAGGCTTGTTCTTCATCTTTCATACATTTATTTAAATATGTCTTATTTCTCTTCATTAATAAATGGTTTGCTTGCTTCTTTCAGTCCACTCCAGATCAAGGCAAGACAAGTATATATTACTACAAATTAAAGTGACAGATCTTATATCCTCATTGACTATGGTCATTTACTGAATAAAATATTTCTGTCCACGGGAGTATAGATAACCTGAACTCTTTTTTTTTTTTTTTCATTTGCTCTTTGGTGAAATCTGCAGCCTCTTTCATATCTTGCTATATGAAGCATTATTGCATGCATCTGTACAGTTTCTATAGCTAGTGGAAATAAGATTCAGTCACCTGTATTCAGGGTACTTCTAGCACTTCATTTTATTACGATAGGTAGGATATAGAATGCTTTATTTTTACTACAATCCTCAACAATTAAGCATAAGCAAATATTTAACAAAAATAACCTTCAATAGCCCTTAACCCTCTGTTAATACAGTACTTTCCCTTTTCTCTCTTAGAATTATCGCTTAATACCTTGAAGCAGTCACTTCTGTTAAATCTACTTTTCTAACATGGCCTATCTTTTATTTGTTTTTTTTAATGTTTTTAAAAATCCTCACCAGAGGTTATTTCTCCATTTATTTGCAGACAGAGTGGGAGGGAAAAAGAGAGGGAGGGAGAGAGAAAGAGAGAGAAACATCAGTGTGAGAGAGACTCATCGATTGGTTGCCTCCCACATGACCCTGACCAGGGCCAGGGATTGAACTGCAACTGAGGTACATCCCTTTGACCAGAATCGAATCTGTGACTCTGGTCCACAGGCTGAAGCTCTATAACTGCTGAGCCAAATTGGCCAGGGCATGGCCTATCTTTTAATTTCCAGTTATTTACTGACAGTTGCCCTGTTGTACATTTCTATTTTGACACCCTGCTCATCTCTCATATTTGATGCCCAAAGTAATTTTAGTGTGTCACTTCCCTATTAAAATTTTAGTCACTTAGGCTCAAGACCTTAATTTTAGTCCTCTTCAACATGAACAGTATCCTCTTTTTAAAAAAATAATTTAAAAAAACATTTTTTTTCAATTAAAGTTGACACACGATATTATTAGTTTCAGCTATACAGCATAATGATTAGACATTTATATTATTACAAAGTGATTACCCTAATAAGTCTAGGACTCATCTGACACCATACATAGTTATTACAATATTAATGACTATATTCCTTATGCTGTACATCTCTGTGACTGTTTTTATAACTGGCAGTTTGTATATCTTAGTCTTTTATTCTTTTTCTTCTATTCCTCCACCTACCCTTTGACTACCATCAAAATATTCTCTGTATCTAGAGTTTGTTTCTGTTTTGTTTGTTTATTTTGTTTTGTTTTAGATTCTACATATGAGTGAAATTGTATCATATTTTTCTTTCTCTGTCTGACTTATTTCACTTAGCATAATATCCTCTAGGTCTGTCCAAGTTGTTACAAGTGACAAGATTTCATTCTTTCTTATGGCTGAGCAATATTCCATTGTATATATTTACCAACTCTTCTTCATCCATTTGTCTATTAATGGGCACTTGGATTGCTTCCATATCTTGGCTAATGTAAATAATGCTTAAGCAGTATCTTCTTCATCTTTGTTTGTATAGCACCTTGCACAGAAAGCAGTAAACAGTAGGGTTTTTTTGTTTGTTTTTTATCCTCACCAGAGGACATTTTTTCATTTTTGTTCAGATAGAGTGGGAGGGGGGGAGAGAGAGAGAGAAGCATTGATGTGAAAGGGACACATCGAGTGGTTGCCTCTCGCACGACCCCAACCAGGGCCAAGGACGAATCGCAACCGAGGTACGTGCCCTTGACTGGAATCAAACCTGTGACTCATTGATCCGCGGGCCGATGCTGTAACCACTGAGCAAAACTGGCCAGGGCAACAATAGTTTTTTTTATTTTTTTTTAATGAACTGTTTAATTAAAATCAATAAATTAAGCAATGATGATGCAATTAAGAAAGGAATAAATTAGATAATGAACAGAAGACCTAAGAAAGAACTTAACTTTATATTTTTTTTCTGCTAGATCTCTGTTCCATATTTCCTTTCTTGGTTTTTGTCACATCATCCTGGGCTATTATAGCTATCATTTAGCTGGATTCATCTCTCTCTTGCACCCTTGGCCTCCTGTCCTCCACTTTGTTCTGTTTTGCCCTGCCTCCCCATTTTTCCCTTGCCCTATTTTATCTTCTTCATAAATCTTAAACCTCAAGCTGTCATTTATTTTATAATATCCTTGTAGCCTGTTTTCCTGTACTTGAATATAGTGTATTTCTAGCACTTAGAACAGAGCCTGATCTGTAGTAATCACTCAGAATATTTGTTGATTAATCTGATCATGATGCTTTTATGGGCAGAAGTCTGGTCTCCAGTTACTGAGGAATCACTGCTCAGAAATCATTAGTTGCTAACCATCCATTCATTATTCATTTATCCAAACTAATATTTATTGACTGCCTACTCTGTACCAGATCACTGTTTTAAGCATTAGGGGTACAGGGATGAACAGTCTAGTCAGAGTCTTGGCTTTCCTTTAGTTTATCTTCTAGTGAAAAAATGCAAATAAATAAATGAAATCATAATTAGATGATATTATGCACAAAGAGGAAAATAAAATGACATGTTGACTTAGAAGTGAGCTACTTTTTGAGTAGTTAAGCAAGAACTTCATGAGGAAGTTTTGGGCATTTAAGCTATAAGTTGAATGGCAAGAAAAGCAAACCATGTGAAGATCTTGCAGTAGAGTATTCCAAGCAAATGAAAAAATTAGAAATAACTTTAAGTGCCCTGGCCGGTTTGGCTCAGTGGTTAGAGTGTCGGCCTGCGGTCCAGAGAGTCCCGGGTTCGGTTCCTGCTAAGGGCACGTACCTCGGTTGCAGTTTGTCCCCAGCCCTGGTTGGGTCGTGCGGGTGGCGGCCACTTGATGTGTCCCTTTCACGTCGATATTTCTCTCTCTCTCTCTCCTTCCCACTCCATCTGAACAAAATATGGAAAAATGTCCTCGGGTGAGGATTAAAAATAATTAAAAAAAAAAAAAGAAAAGAAAAGAAATAACTTTAAGTAATAATATATGTGGTGATTTTTAAAAAATAACCTTTCCAGCCCTGGCCAGTTTTGCTCAGTGGTTAGAGCGTTGGCCTGTGGTCCACGGAGACCCGGGTTCGGTTCCCGCTAAGGGCATGTACCTCGGTTGCAGTTTGTCCCCAGCCCTGGTTGGTCGTGCGGGTGGCAGCCACTCAGTGTGTCACTTTCACGTCGATGTTTTTCTCTTTCTCTTCCTCTCTCTCTCTCTCCCACCCTATCTGAACAAAAAATGGAAAAATGTCCTCGGGTGAGGATTAAAAAAAATAAAAAAATACCTTTCCAGTTTAACTCCTTGAAGGCAAGGACTTTTTAAAAAATAGTTTTGTATTTTCCACTGTCCATATGATGCTTTCACATAGTGACACATGTTTATTAATTAATTTTGCTATCACTTTAGATAGATTTTATAAAATGAAACCATTATTTTCAAGGTCTTTTCCTCAGAAGTATCTTAAATGTTTGGGGTAAAAATCATTTTAGGCTTCAGTGCCAATTTTTTTTTTGTACTTATGAATAAACTATAAATTTATTCTAATTAGTCTTGGCAAGTATATAAAATTATTTTATTCTTAATACACTGTTACTGGAGAGATGAGTGGGCCAGATCTTCCTGACACTTGTGGGAGTGTGGTGGCTCTCACGATATTTTCAAAGAATGAATTTTCTAAGACTCGCATGGGAGAATAAATGATTTTTATTGGCATGGAGTTACATTCCTGGGGTTGTGATGTCTCAGTTTCCTTAATCTAGTCCTAGAAGACTTGCAGTTGTGGATTCAGCAAAGCTAGAAGCAGGGCCAGTGTCCAGAGGTTCTGTTCCATGGTGAAAGTGGGTCTGATGTGACAACAGGCTAGATATCTATTAGTCTATCAGTCCATTGTATGGGTACCACAAGGCCTTAAGCCATGTGGCAAAGGCAGGGTGTGGGAGCCCCATAAGGTAAGAGTCTGGTGCAGGCAGCAAGGGAGAGGACCAAGAAACTAAGAGAGAGAGAACTTCCTTTGTCTAGGGCAGTGGTTTTCAACCTGTGGGTCACAACCCCTTTGGGGATCGAACGACCCTTTCACATATTTCCGATGGTCTTAGGAACCGAGACACCGCTCCTCTATCCATCTCCAGGCAGGTCTACCCACATGCAGATATGCCCCCATACAACATGAGGAACTTTATTAAAGGGTCACAGAATTAGGAAGGTTGAGAACCACTGGTCTAGGGGACTAACTATTCAAGTTTTGCACACCTATTCTGGCCACTGGCTCTCCCAAGTGTGACTGACAGGCAGGCACCTTCTGATGTTACTGGGTATGTGTCTAAACTGTCTTTGTCCAGTCCCTTCCCCCATCAGTCTGTGAGGAACAGACCTGGAGAGTATTAAACTAGCTTTCTGGTAAAGCTGTATAAATGGCTTGTCTATATTATCTAGTCTCCCCTTTACTCCTTTCCTGTTAAATAATAACCAGATTATTACAACAGCATCATATACAATAACTTTTCTTGTGAAAATTTAAAAATGCAATAGAAATAAAGTAAAAACCCTCCAAAATTCAATACACACACACCATACATATATATTATTGTTTTACATGGTATTTTATTTGCCATTAATATTTGCAAATATTTCTCCATGTCAGGAAATAACAGGTTGTTTTTTTTTTAATTGGACATTGAGGTGACATTGATTAATAAAATTATATAGGTTTCAGGTATACAATTCTATAATACATCAGTTGTATATTGTATTGTGTGTTCACCACCCCAAGTCAAGTCTCCTTCTATCACCATTTATTCCTTCTTTACCCTCTTCTACCTTCCCCCTTTCCCTCTGGTTACTATCGTTTTATGAACTATGTAATCATGTGGATGAAGCATGCGTTATGAAAAGAATTTTACATAAATGCATATCTCTTTATAATTTTTAATTATTTTTTGAAGTACATTGTCAAAAGTAGTATTCAGATCTTGTTAAATAAATGCCTAAAAATGACATTGCTAATCAGGAAGGTTATACTGATTTGCAGTCTTATGAACAGTGCATATATATGCCTATTTTCCCACATCCTCATGATTGTTGGGTTTTGTCAGTCTTTATTATGTTTGCCAATCTGATGTGCAGAAAATCTCTTTAAGAGAAAGTATTTCTTTGCTTATAAGTGGAATTGAATGATTGTCATTATGTCGTCATTTATACTTTATTTGCGAATTGCACATTCAGATCTTATTGTCATGGGATGTATTTTTAAAGGATTTCTTACAGTTCTTATAAACAAGTAATGAGTCATTCTCATTGTGAAACCGGACAACGAATGGGTCAGGGCGACCTGTCACTACTTGAGCCGTTTAAGCAGAGATGAGGTTGAATTGTATATGAGTGTTTATTCCAGTATTGCAGGCAGTATGGGAGAGCAGTGAGTCATCCCGTAAAATCTACTCTGCCCACCCTCACTTGCTAGCTTCTAAGGGTAGAAAAGCAGTGACTGTGTGAAAAAAGCAGTTAAGCAAAAAGGAAACAAAATGGGTAAATGATTACAGGCAAGGGGGGAGGAATGTGGGCTGATGGGGGGATTGCAGTCAGGTTGTTAATCTTTCCATGATGTCAGGTAGTCCCCCATGTCCTTAGATTATGAGAATGGACACCATTCCTGAGGTAAACTCCTGAGGCGCACACCTCCCGGCCAGGTTGGAGTGGACTTTTCTTTTATCAAAACAAAGCAACCATGATTAACATTGCAAAAGATGGTGAACATTTCTTATAACTATGGCTAGTATGCCACTATGATTATTTCTCTATTATTCTCTCTTGCCCCTTTCTGTTGTTGGAAACATTTTTTTCTTAGTTGCACTTGTTTAAATATGCATTGTATTTATTGCTTGAAAGTTTTTATTTTTTTAATGTTTATACTGTCAAAAATTAATATTTTTTTAGACTTAAATTTGCCATGCCTTTTTAATGCAATCTTATTCTTATACAATAAAACTTTTACTACCTTTTCAATAACATTATAAGTTGTATGTCTGTAAAGGTATATTCTTTTTATTGATAAACTCACTGCCATATAGTATGGTTTCAGTTTTTTGATTGGCTACAAAAGCTCCCACATGCTTTATTAATACTTTATTTTATATCCTTTAGTTGCTCGATCTTATTAAGATTAATAATTAGCACATCAGGATGACTGTTGATAGGGAATGTGTGTGTTTTTCTTTTCTTTGTGTTCATGGTGTATCTGATACAGTCTTGAGATTGAATTTAATTTGTTCCTGTGAGTTAGGATTCAGTTGCTGATAACAGTAATTACTGTAGATATTTTTATGTAGAAAGGAACTTAATTCAGAGAGGTATTTATGTTTACAAAATCATTAGAAGTCTTAACCTTTCGGAGTGTTAAAATAACAGTGTGGAACTGACCGAAGCTGCAAACAGAAAGTTGTAGCTGTTGCTTCCAGGTTAATGCGGTATTCAGGAAGAAGCTGCTACAGCTATTGGCTCCAGGGCTGAAGTTCCTTTACTAGAGTTGCAGTAACAACACAAATGTCTTGCACTCCGCCTCTCAGCACTCAAAAGGTAGTACCTGGACAGAAAATTGAAGTACATGTGTACATGCTTGTCAGCAGAAACCGAAGCTACTGCCTCATTTTACTCTCCCAGTTTCATGTGTTTGAATTTAGTTGATGAAAATAAATCACTTTTAGTACCGGAGATGCAAGAGAGTTTGGGAAAAGTAATTTTCTTTTTAGCTGGAAAGCTTCTGCAGGAAAACATGAAGAGGATAGAATGGATGTTGAATATCAATCTCCCATATTCACTCATTATACATAGAAAATAATGAAAACTGGCTTACAATTTTGTCTTCCCTATTCTTAGATTAATTTATGTGAAGAATTTGATTTTTCCCCTCTTCTTTTTAGCACTTGCTAGAGGTAAATTCTTTAAAGCACCTGACAAGACTGACTCTGCAGGATCGCATTACCAAGTCCCTTCTTCATTTGCACAAGAAGAAGAAACCTCCCAGCATCAGTGCTCAGTTTCAGGTTATTACCTATTTTGCTTTTAACAAAGAGGAATCGGTTTCCTTCAGATTGACATTGAAAGGTCAAAATGATTGGCAAGATACCTAAATGGTATATGATTCATGTGACTAAAAAGCATGCTATAATGGTCACTTGGCTTTTCAGGAATTAACCTATTTTTGTGTATACCACTCATTTTGCATATTTTGACAACATTATTGTTTATATTTATAAATTGTTTTCAGTTTGGAATGGAAGAAAATGCTCATATTGTTGCTTTGTATCGCAGACCTCATTAAACAAGCTGATGGAGACACTTGGTCAAGCAGAGCCATATTTTGTAAAATGCATTCGCTCTAATGCAGAAAAGGTAAATGAGAGCTTCTCACTCAGTTTACTTCAAACTAAGCTTTTAATTCTTTCTAAGGAGAGTAAGTGGACAGGAGGATCTATATATAATCTTTTTTAAGGAAAACAATGTTATATATTTTCTATGGATATTTTTCTTGTTTTTGCACCTATCTGCCTATAAGGTATTTATATGGTCTTGATTTAGTATCTCCTAGAATTTGAGAAACAGATACCTCTTGAAATGTCATAGTAAAAAAGGGTTTTATGTAACTTTTATTACTCTGAGAGTAATCTCTCTTGTTTGGATATACACTGTCACTCTTAAAGAACTTGCTTGGTATTTTTCATGTTTAGAGATTCTAATTTTTGTAAAATAGGGAAGATACTGTGTACATTCTTGATTCCTCCCTATTTACTTTGACAGTTCCCCTAATTAGAGTTTTGCAAAATATGTCTAAAAAGTGTAAACATTTGTCATCTTTCTTTATGTTCATCATAGGAAAAAATGGTTCCCAACCTGAATAGCTAAAATGTGTAGGAATTATGTTTAGCTTTCTTAGTTTTTAAGAAGCAGTCTCCAACTCATTTGTTTACAAGCTTTGTGACCTGAGACAAGTTAACCATTCTGTGGCTTAAATATTTTTATCCATGTAAGAATATATTGTATTTATAGGACCTCATAGTGTTTTGTGAGTTCATACCTATAACATACTTAGAATGTTTCTAGCCCATTATAAGTGGTTAGTAAATGTAGCTATTCTTTTACAGTAACTAAAAAGGAAATAATTTTATTTATAGTTAAATAGAAGTTTGAGTCCCTATTATTAATTGAAACCTTGCTATACAAAGAGTAAAATTAATGAAGTATTTCAGGGTATAGAATAAGTTCTAAGTAAATGTCAACTATTAATATTATTATTTAACATAAGTTGCCCATTGACTTTTTTTCCTTGACAGGTGATACACTCCATCTGTCTGCAGAAAAATGTTTGGGATTGTCTTAGGGAATCATTGAAAATAGTATTTAGAGTGAATAGAGAGAAATATCAGAAACTCCAAATGCATCTTGTTTTGAATGTCTGAAAACATGCCTACTGAGATACCTAGGAGTGACAGGGTATTATGACTAGTGAGGAGTGACTGCCTCCCATTACCTTCTTCCCTTTCAGCGCCTATACAATGAAATCATCAATTGTCAGGGACGATAGGAATTTTTTGTTTTTCATTGTGTCATACCAGTATCATCAGCAAAATGTATTTAGGGAAATGAAATCTATTCTTAGCCTTGTACTAGTCATTAGAAGAAGAATCTGTCAGCTCTCAGTTAACCAAGGCAACTAGTAAAGTGGAGCAAGTTATTTCTGAATGAGATTATAGATAAAATTATAAATAAAAACAAAAATACAGACACTCCTGACCATATGTGAGGAGGCTAGTCTTGTTACATATTTTATAGTGACTACTATGTGGCCACCTCTATGGGCAACTACATTCCTTTTGAGCTTTGAAGATCTTCTCCCTCTACAACTAGAGAAGCATGGAAACCTGGTTCCCCTTTTCCCCCCCTGGGATCAGGCAATCAGAACTTTTCTGAAACTACTGCTGGGAAATAAGATTGTCCATCACTTCTGCTGTATCTTAACCAGACAATCTTCAGTTGATTCCTAGATATTAAAAAGTTAATCATACTTATAAGAGAAACATTAATTTGGAAATCTATTCTTCTAGGTTAATGTTTTTTTCCTATTGGTTTGTTTTAGCTGCCATTAAGGTTCAGTGATGCCTTGGTACTTAGGCAGCTTCGGTATACTGGGATGCTGGAGACCGTTCGAATTCGCCAATCAGGATACAGCTGCAAATACTCTTTCCAGGTTATACTTTTACAGTGATCTTTAAATATCTATGCACATCAATTAAATTATTTTTTTATTTGGGGCTTGTTTATTTCTCTTAACTCTTCCTTTCTACTCCATCTTTTGTATACAGAATTAAAGAGGTAGAGAGTACCCTCTTCCAACCTTATTAAGTTTGTGTTGTAATAGAATCCAGTACTTGGCTTCTCATTTGATCTGAATGTTTCCTAATACTAAATTTACTCATTACATAGCAATTCTTCACACTGTTATGAGTAAATACTAATTTTACTCATAGCATAGCACTTCTTCACTCTGATTACAATTCTTCACAATGAAATAGTTCAATCAGAACTGTCTAGTTCAAAAGAAAATATTCCGTTTGGTTTTTGCTAAAGTTTTATCAGCAGGATTTTCTTTTATAAGAAGCTGCCAACAAGATTCAAAGTTATTTTCATCAGCTACTGCTATGGGTATAGAAATTATATTGAAGCTTTTCAGCACCTGAGCAAGTCTTTGCTGTTACTTGGAGGGAAAGCTTCATTCTCAATTATATCTTGTAATAACTGCCACATTTGCTTATTTTCCTGCTAAAAATTTCTTCTTATTATTAAATAACCTTTTTCTGGTTTTTTTTTTTTTTTTTTTTTTTTTATCCTCATCCGAGGACATTTTTCCATTTTCTGTACAGACGGAGGGAGAGGAAGAGAGAGAGAGAGAGAGAGGGAAACATCGATGTGAAAGGGACACATCGAGTGGCTGCCACCCACACGACCAACCAGGGCCAGGGACAAACTGCAACCAAGGTACGTGCCCTTAGCGGGAACCGAACCCGGGTCTCTCGGGACCGCAGGTGGACGCTCTAACCGCTGAGCCAAACCGGCCAGGGCGTTTTTCTGGTTTTTAATATAGCTTTCTCAAAAGGGATGATTAGTTTCTGCCCTTCTTTTATTCCCCTTTGATAACAAAATATTATGTAGAATTCACTACACCTTTCCTCATTTTATAAATTATCCTTTTGTAATATTTTAAGTTAGCAAATACTTCCTTGGTTTCTCTCTATTTAAAAGAATGAGAAAGGGATCAATAAAAGGATAAAATTTGGGATCTTGTTTACATATCATTCTTTTGTGACTTTATAACATTTCTTCATTTTTCAGGATTTTGCGAGCCACTTCCATGTACTTCTTCCTCGAAATATCATTCCATCCAAATTTAACATCCAGGATTTCTTCAGGAAAATAAATATTAATCCAAATAATTATCAAGTTGGAAAATCCATGGTAAATATATATAGCCCTTCTGAAAATTAAGTGTATTTTTGTGTTTTAGTAATAATGATAATTATTGACTATGATAATGTTTTATAAAAAACATAGTTTATCAGATGTCATAAGGAAATTTATTAGGCCAATATTTTTTTTTTACTTAATAATATAGTCCGTATTAAAGGGCTTAGGGCCAATTGTTTACTTCTACCTATAATTTTAACCGCCTAAAAGTCATCTCTCCCTTATACTCTACTGAAATCTTTAATCCTACTTGCCCAAAGTCACCTTATCCTGATTTTCCTACTATCCTTAATTTGTCAACTACTCTTTCTGTCACCCTTCTACTTTCTTATGCTAGAAACTATAATGATATTTGGCCTACCCTTCACTTTAATCCTTTTACAAAGTTCTGTTTCTTTTTTTCCTTACAAATCACTCTCATACCTCTCCCTTTTTCTTCAGTGCTACTGCTTTAATATTAGTTCTATATCTTTACCTTTCATTTACATTTTTCTTACAGTAAACAGACCCCTCATCTAGTTCCAGACTATTTGTTATTCTATTTAACTCACTCTTTCTGTGGTATCGAAATTATCATCTTAATATCTAATATCAGTGTGCTCTTTTTAAAGGCACATTTATAAATTTTTGTATTCTTTTTAATCCTCACCCGAGGATGTATTTTTATTGACTTTAGAGAGATTGGAAGGGAGAGAGAAAGATCTGTGTGAGAGAGAAACATTAATCGGTTGCCTCCTGGACGCACCTTGACCAGGGATTGAATCTTCAACGTAGGTATGTGCCTTGACTGGGAATTGAACTCACAACCTTTTGGTATATGGAGCGATGCTCCAACTGACTGAGCCACCCAACCAGGGCTGTGTGCTCTTTTTAAAAATATTTTTTGACAAAAATGGAAGATGCTGGATTTGTAAATGAGTTTTATTGTGGTAATCATTTCACAATGTATACATACATCAAAACATCATATTCTATACCTTAAATATATACAATTTTTAATATCTACCTGTTCTTTAAGGTGAGTGCAAATCCTATTTCCTTAGGGACCATGTCTAAGTCATCTTTGCATCCCCCTAAATTCCTACCGAATTTATAATGGAATAAAGGAATACATAAATAAACTGATTATAGCTTTGGGCAGCAAGAAGCCTTTGATGCATACTGACTGGGTTTCTGAAAGACTTACTGGTTTATTCATTTTATGGTCAAACTTGAAGATTTGTGGTTCTCAACATTTTTCCCCCTACTTTAACATCTTTGAAAAATATTACACCCTGGCCTGTGTGGTTCAGTTGGTTGGAGCATTGTCCTGTAATCCAAACAGTGGGGGGTTTGATTCCCAATCAGGGCATATACCTAGATTGTGGTTTCCATTCCCAGTCAGGGCATGTGCGGGAGGCAACTGATCAATGTTTCTCTCTCACATCGATTTTTCTCTCCCATGCTCTTTTTCCTTTCCTCTTTTAAAAAATATTGATAAAAATATGACATATTACCAGCAGTACATTGACTCATGATGGTAGTGAATTTCTCAAGGGAAAAGTGTGTCATAATACCTGGCACTGGGATTTTTGTATACATGTGCACCTCCCTATTTCCCCTTCTGTATTCTAATGTCTTCTTTCCGTTTTGAGAAGGACCACTTTGGATAAAATAGTAGAAATATTTATTAGTACTGTTTTTACACATCTGCCACTGTATTTGTTCTATAAAAATGCTTATCATAGGCCCTGGCCAGTTTGGCTCAGCGGTTAGAGTGTCGGCCCGTGGTCCAGAGAGACCCGGGTTCAGTTCCCGCTAAGGGCACGTACCTCAGTTGCAGTTTGTCCCCGGCCCTGGTTGGTCGTGCAGGTGGCAGCCACTCGATGTGTCCCTTTCACATTGGTGTTTCTCTTTCTTTCTCTCTTCCTCTCTCTCCCTCCCACTCTAACTGAACAAAAAATGTCCTCGGGTGAGGATAAAAAAAAAAAAATGCTTATCATAGAAGAGGTGATTCATGAAATTTTTCATTTCTTCTTAAACTATATTTTTCATCTTTGTGTTTTCTCGTAGGTGTTCCTAAAGGAACAGGAACGACAGCACCTACAAGATCTGCTTCACCAAGAGGTGCTCCGCAGAATCATATTGTTGCAGCAGTGGTTTAGGGTCTTGCTGTGCAGGCAGCATTTTCTCCATCTGAGACAGGCATCAATTATCATTCAGGTGGGAGGCAAAGGATTCCTTGCATGAGATTGGCTAGTTTATTTGGCTTTTGTTTTAAACCACTATTTTACTGTAAAATGTATAAATAATAATGTAAACTTTTTCAGAGATGAGAATGTTTCCTAGTCATTTTTGAAATGTTGATAGTACCAAAAAGATTACTTCACATATAATAATAGGGTATTAATAAATATTGATGAAGCTGAATTTAAATTGAATTTATAGTTATAATAGCTTATGGGGTATGGTTAGGAGCAAAGGAGTTATGTGCCTTAATTTTTGTTGACACAGTTATATTTAATAGTTTTCTGAGTGATATTTGAGAGTTATAAATACATTGTTGTTAGATACTCATCTTGGTTTATAGGTACCTTATTTCGCATTTCCCTATTTTATTTTCTTTCTTAACGATTTATATGATAGTTGTTTCACAGGACCTTTTCTGTTGGTACAAGAACATCTTTAATATCTTAATTTTTGAAATGTGTGCTTGTTGACCTTAAACCCAATTAATATTGGCAAATTGTAGTATGAGAATAATTTATAATTTGTTAAAATTAATTTGTAGGGCATGAAAGCATCAAAAAATGTATTGTCTTATAATTAATTTTGTCAAGGTTATGTTATCTAAAACAGTTGTTTTAACCAAGCATATCTACAAAAGAAAACTTTAAAAATCATTCACAGTTTAGCTATTTAGCTACTTACCCTCTAATTATGACATAAGAAATTTATTGTTTTTTCTTTTTTCTGTGAAAATGTTGTATATGACAGTAGTTTATATTATTTTGTCTTCCCCACAGCGATTCTGGAGGAATTACCTAAATCAAGTCAGAGATGCAGCTGTGGAAAAGGATGCTTTAGTTATGACTAGTGCAGCTACTCTTCTCCAAGCTTCTTGGCGTGCTCACTTAGAGAGGCAGCGGTATTTGGAGCTTCGGACTGCAACCATCATCATCCAGCAGAGATGGAGAAAGCACTATAGGCAGAGACACATGGCTGCTATTTGCATACAGGCAAGATGGAAAGGCTACAGGGAAAGGAAGAGGTATCAAGAACAAAGGAACAAAATTATCCTTTTGCAATCAATATGTAGAGGATTCAGATCAAGACAAAGGTAATCTTTGTTGTTATAATTCTCTCTGCTCAAGTACATTGTTTATACCTCTGCTTTAACAGTTTCCTAACTTGTATTAGAATTGATTATGTGCAATATGTCTTCTCCACTAAACTGTGATACTCCTAGCAATTTTAACCTACACTGTGTGGTCTATAATAGAAGATACATTATTGAATTAAATTGCATTGAAAACCTACATGGTCTGTGGTTTTAATTGCTAAGAGTTAACTTTTACATTAGGTTGAATCTTTAAAAATTGGCAATAGTCAACTGTTTTTACCTTTAGAAACTTTAATTTTATTTTTACGGTTTATGTTAGAATAAGGATATTGTGAAATGAGAGCTTTATTTCTGATTTTATTTTATCTTTTAGTAGAATGCCTAGTTAAGAATAATGTACTTAATGAAATATCTCACTCATGGAAATAGAATTATGAAATGTGCATCCAAGTTAGTTTGAGAAATACTTAGGTATAATAAAAAGATTTTTGGGACTTTCCATTTTTTATCTTAAATTCTCAGTAAATGTATTCTCTCCAATGGTAACCAAGAGATACCTCTCACCTACTTTTTAAAAAATTTTTTATTTTAATACAGATTTAAAGCTTTCAAAGAAAAAAGACTAAAAGAAACAAGACTAGAACTTGGATTGACGAATATTGAGCCATATGGAATTCTGAAAATTCAGGGTTCAGACCCTTCAGAATGGGAGGATTGTTCCTTTGACAACAGAGTAAAAGCCATAGAGAAATGTAAATCTGTAATAGAGAGTAATCAAATTAGTTCAGTGGACTGCTTGATGGAGTCCCCAAACAAGCAACAGGAGAGAGCCAGAAGCCAGAGTGGTGTGGACTTGCAGGAAGATGTGATTGTAAGAGAGAGACCCAAGTCCTTGGAGGATCTCCACCAGAAAAAAGTAGGTCGAGCCAAAAGAGAAAGTCGGAGAATGAGAGAACTAGAACAAGCTATATTTAGCTTAGAATTGCTGAAAGTTCGTTCTCTTGGTGGTGTGTCTCCTTCAGAAGAACGCAGATGGTCTACAGAACTGATGCCTGAGGGCCTTCAGTCCCTACAGGGTACACCTGATAGTGAAAGCTCTCAAGGAAGCTTGGAACTTCTGAGCTGTGAGGAAAGTCACAAGAGCAAGCTAGAGTCTATAATTTTAGATGAAGGAGACTTGCAGTTTCTATCACCTAAGATATCTAGCACTCAAAAATTTGATTCACAGGACAATGCCCTCAGTGCCTCAAGTGAGACTAATTATACAGTGATTCAAAAGGGAACGTCTTCTGACTCAGTGCATTTGAAGAATGGGACTATGAAGGAAAAACTGGTTTGTAGTTCTGAATCTATTACCTGTAAGCCACAGCTGAGAGACTCCTTTATTTCTAGTAGTCTACCTACATTTTTTTATATTCCTCAACAAGACCCTCTGAAAACAAGTTCCCAACTAGACACAAGTATCCAGAGAAACAAACTAGTGGAAAGTGAAGAAACAATTCCAGCTCTTACTTTGGATATCAACAGGGAAGCTAGAAAGTATCACTTCTCAGAAGAAAATAAAGTTGTTGCTTTGAATACAGATTCTTCTAATACTGTGCTTAAGAAGTTGGAAAAGCTGAACACTGAGAAGGAAGAAAGGCAGAAACAGTTGCAGCAGCAGAATGAAAAAGAGATGATGGAACAGATTCGCCAGCAAACAGATATTTTGGAGAGGGATCGTAAAGCCTTCAAGACAACTGAAAAGCAAAGAATTGGGGAATCTTTTCCAGTATCATCTTTCCATCAGTCAAATCAAAGAGTGCAGAGGCCAACCTCTCTCCTCATTCTAAATACTCCAAATAAGGAAGAATCTGATGTAGCAGGGCCTCCATTAGTAACTGTAAAAGATCCAGCTCTTGCCCCCAAAGACAGGCCATTTGTTCACTTACCTCGGAAGGATCAACCTGTTACCCTGTTCTTTGAAAGAAAAGGAGGCCCTTGCCAATCTAGTACTGTCAATGAATTATCTAAGACAGACAGAACGTGCACCCAACTGAATGTAGGCTGTAAACTCTCTAATAATCGCATTTCAAAAAGAGAACAGTTTAGGCCGACTCAGTCTTATAGCCACAAATCTAATGACCCTCCCAGAGATGGAACTACTAGGTCTATTTTCTTCACGCCAAAGGAAAATATGAGTATTTCCCTGTAAGTGAAATGTGTATTTATTTTTATGTGTAAGTGGGAAATTTTTTGGAGAATTTTAAAGGCATACCTCAGAAATATTGAGGGTTCAGTTCCAGACCACTGCAGAAAAGTGAGTATCACAGTAAAGCGAATCATAATCTTTTTGCTCATGAAGGGTCTTGCCTTTGATTTTTAAAAATCACAACATTTGTGAAGTGCAGTAAAACCAGGTATGTCTGTATTAAGGTGTCTTGATCTGCCTCAACTATTTGTATGGATGTTACTCAAATTAGCTATTTTTTCTGTGTTAAGAAAGTTTCCTAATTATTGACCACCACCTACTTGAAATTGGATATAATTATACCCCAAGAAGTTTTGACCAAGCACAGAAAGCAATTTCGAATTCCTTCCTATTAAGTGAGAAAGCATTTATAAAGGGCAAAACAGTGCCAGTAAACATAGTAGGCATTCAGCAAATGCTTGTTGCCCTAGAGCTGTTAGATATAGCCGTCCAAGCTTGGTGTTAGACTTTAAAGTTAATGTGCTTTGTCACAGTTGTTGGCCTATTTTTGTTCTTCATTAATTTATACTTTTTGTGGTATAAAAGCACAAAATTTACCATCTCAATTCTTTTTAAGTGTAATGTTAACTATATGCATAGTGTTGTGCAACAGATCTCTAGAACATTTTCATCTTGCACAAATTGTTACCCATTGTACAACTACCTCTTTTCCCTTACCCCAGGCCCTTGATGACCACCATTCTCTTTTCTGTTTCTAAGACTTTGACTATATTAGATACCTCATAAAAGTAGAAGATTTTTATACTTTTCAGTTTTCTTAACTAGTGCTAGCAGCAAGAAAAGCATTTTTAAGTGGTGCATAAAACAAATTTGATAAAATTTAAGATACTTGTATTAAGTCTTTGTATATAGCGGATTCTTTTTTTGTTAATCCTCACCTGAGAATATTTTTGTGTTTTTTTGTTTGTTTGTTTGTTTTTTATCCTCACCCGAGGACATTTTTCCATTTTTTGTTCAGGTAGAGTGGGAGGGAGAGAGGAACAGAGAGAGAGAGAGAAACATCGACGTGAAAGGGACACATCGAGTGGCTGCTACCCGCACAACCGACCAGGGCCGGGGACAAACTGCAACCGAGGTACATGCCCTTAGCGGGAACCGAACCCGGGTCTCTCAGGACCGCAGGCCGACACTCTAACCGCTGAGCCAAACCGGCCAGGGCTTTTTTTTTTTTTTTTAGAGAGAGTGGAAGGGAGTGGGGAGAGACAGAAAGAGAAAGAAACATCGATGTGGGACACATTGATTGGTTGCCTCCCACACATGCCCAAACCGGGGCTGGGGCTCAAACCTGCAACCCAGGTGTGTGCCCTTGACCAAGAATTGAACCTGCGACCCTTTGGTACGCAGCCAACACTCTAAACACTGAGCCACACCCACCAGGTGACAGTGGATTCTTTCAGTTCTTATGGGAGAATATCACTGTTTAAGTAAAGGGAGGGCTGCTATATTTTAAGGCTAAAAATTAAATTTCATATTAACTATGAAATTACTTTTTTCTCTCTTTTTTCCTGGGGGAGAGGGAGATTTTTATGAGTTTATTTGAGACAAACTGGAGACATGCTGGGAAGCAAGATCTCGAATGCTTTGAACTTTTTTTCTTATAGCCTGAGCTTTTAATCTTTCAGTCTTTAAAATTGCATACAGATGTTATAGAAACCCTTTGTAAATGTGGGTGAAGGATCATTCATATTTTATTTTTCCACTAAGGATTTTTATGCAGTATTATGACATATAGTTGGACTAAATGACAGATTGAGGTTCTATTCCTTCCCATTAGCCTAGAGAGTGCCCAGAGGTTTAAAGACTGTGGAGCATATAAGCCTATCAGAGTGTTTAAAATATATCATTTCCTGTCATTCTGATTATGTTTAGTGATGTGAGGGGTGTGTGTGTGTGTGTGTGTGTGTGTGTGTGTTTTGTTGGATCCAAGAATCTGCTTTGTAGATGGCTTACTTGTAGATTAAAAAAAACAACAGCAGCAGCCCTGGCCAGTTTGGCTCAGCGGTTAGAGCATCGGCCTGTGGTCCAGAGAGACCCGGGTTCGGTTTCCGCTAAGGGCGCATACCTCGGTTGCAGTTTGTCCCCGGCCCTGGTTGGGTTGTGTGGGTGGTAGCCACACGATGTGTCCTTTTCACGTCGATGTCTCTCTCTCTCTCTCTCTCTCTCCCTCTCCCTCTGTCTGAACAAAGGATGGAGAAATGCCCTCGGGTGAGGTTAAAAAAAAAAAATAGCCGGGACTGGAATCTGAATTTCATGATTAGGAATCACTGTTGGATTTCATAATGCTGATGAGTGTAGAGTGGTGTTCATCTGATTTATGAGAAAGAACAAAAAGAAGTAGAGAATTCTAAAGAAAATGCCATGAGTTTAAAAGTTGGGGTGTTCAGGTGCTATCTAAGGTCCTATTAATTGTTTCTTCCTTTGAAGAACAAATCAAAGACCAGTAGGCTCAACTGTGGCAGGAGAAATTGTAATGGCCCCTTCTAAGTCTAATTCTAAAGATTTGGGGATTTGGTATTTTCCCTTTCTCATCTTTAAATTCATTTCATTTTATGAACTAATAATGCTGCTACTATTCTTAAACACACATCATTATAATAGAATATGCCCAGTGGTTACCAGGGCAGGGCCTCTAGTAATTCATTCATATATGTAAATTCTTTTTTTTTTAATTTAGATTGTTTTGTGTGCAATTTTTATTAACTTATTTTTGTTATAGATGTTTCTCCTTTTCCCCTCTAGATGATCCTGACCCCCACCCCCAGCATTGTTGGCCTATGTCTATAGGTTACTCATACATGCATATAAGTTCTTTGATTTATCTCATCCTCCCCACCCATACCCCCCTCCTCTGAGGTTTGTCTGTCTGAATCATACTCCTTTCTATGTTTCTGAGTCCATATTGTTCATCAGCTTATTTTTTATTTATTGGTTTTTAGTGAGAGAGAAACGGAGAGGAAGAGAGATAGAAACACTGATAAGAGAGAACATCGATTGGCTGCCTCCTGCATGCCCCACCCTCAACTGGGAATTGGGCCTACAACCTGGGCATGTGCCCCAACTGGGAATCGAATCGGCGACCTCCTGGTGCGTGGGATGATGCTCAACCACTGAGCCACACCAGCTGGGCTGGTTTTATATAAACTTCTGAATTATTTGTTCTAGTTCTGTGAAATATGTTAGTATTTTAATGAGGATTGCATGGAATCTATAGATTGCTTTGGGTACTATGGACATTTTAATGATGTTAATTCTTCCAATCCATGAACATGGTATAGGCTTCCACTTATTTGTATCTTCCTCTATTTCTTTCTTCAGTAACCTACAGTTTTCTGAGTACAGGTCTTTTACCTTCTTAGTTAATTCCTAGGTACCTTATTTACTAATTTTTAAAAATTCTCACCTGAGGATATTTTTTCATTGATGTTTCAAATAGAATGGGAAGAAGGTAGGGAGAGAGAGAAACATCAATGTTAGAGAGACACATTGATTGGTTGCCTCCTGCACAACCCCAATTAGGGCTGGGGACTGAACCACAACTGAGCTATGCACCCTTTACCAGAATTGAACCCGCAACTCTTTGATCCATGGGCCAACATTTTAACCTCTCACCCAAACCAGCCAGGGTGGTACTTTTTTGTTGTTGTTTTTGCAATAGTAAATGGGGTTGTTTTCTTTGTTTCTGTTTCTGACTGTTTGTTATTGGTGTATAAAAATGCCACTGATTTCTGGATAATAATTTTGTATCCTGCTATTTTTTAGAATTCATTTATTAGATCTAGTGGTTTTTTGGTGATTATTGATAGGGTTTTCTATGTATAATAATGTCATCTGAATAATGACAGTTTTACTTCCTTCTTTACAATTTAGATGCCTTTTATTTCTTCTTCTTGTCTGATTGCTGTGGCTAGGACTGCCAGCACTTTGTTGAATAAAAGTGGTAAAAGTGGATATCCCTGTCTTGTTCCTAGTTGTGAGGGAAATGCAGTTACTTTTTGCCCATTGACTGTAGGCTTTTCACATACGGCCTTTGTTGTGTTGAGGTTGATCCCTCTGTTCCCACATTGCTGAGAGTTTTTATCAGAAATGGGTGCTGGATTTTTTTTTTAATGCTTTTTCTGAATCTACTGATATGATCATGAGATACTTATCTTTCATTTTGTTTATTCCAGAATAAATTCCACTTGGTCTTGGTGTATGATCTTTTTAATGTATTGCTAGATTTGGTTTGTTAACATTTTGCTGAGAATTTTAGCATCTATGTTCGTGAGGGATAGTGGACTGTAATTTTCTTTCTTTGGAGTGTCCTAATCTGGTTTTGGAATTAGGATAATGCTGGCCTCATAAAGAGAACTTGGACGTCTTTCCTCTTGAATTTTTTGGAATAGTTTCAGAAAGATAAGTGTTAAGTCTTCTTTGAATGTTTGGAAAAATGTACCTATGGAGCCATTCGGTCCAGGAATTTTGTTTGCTGGGAACTTTTTGATTACTACTTCAACTTCATTAGTTGTTAGTGGTTTATTCAGATTTCTTATTCTTCTTGATTTTTATTTATTTATTTTTTATTTTTGGGAGGGAGAGAGAGGAACAGAGAGAGAGAGAGAAACATCGATGTGAAAGGAACACATCGAGGGGCTGCCACCCGCACGACCGACCAGGGCCGGGGACAAACTGCAACTGAGGTACGCGCCCTTAGCGGGAACCGAACCCGGGTCTCTCAGGACCGCAGGCCAACTCTCTAACTGCTGAGCCAAACTGGCCAGGGCTCTTCTTGATTTTTAGAAGATTGTATGTTTTTAGGAATTTGTCTTCGCCCAGGTTGTTCACTTTGTTGGCCCCTAAGTTCATACTGTTTTCTTACAATCCTTTGTATTTCTGTGATGTCAGTTGTTACATTGCCTCTTTCATTTCTGATTTTATTTATAGGTGTCTTTCTTTTGTT